ATTAATAAAGTTATAAAAACACATATTACAATATGAATATTAATCCAATTGAGATTAAATTTTATATGCAAATAGTATTGCACCTGTTGAATAACTTTTTACTTAAAAATAAAAAGCGATTGACTTTGATTAAAATATTCAAATTTTCTTGTGAAGTTAAAAAATTGTGACTTATTTAATGAAGTTACAAAAAAAATATTTCTACACAAATATATTAATCTAATCAATATAAAATATTAGATATAAATAGTATTAAACCTGTTAAATAACTTTTACTTAGAGATAAAAGGTGATTGACTTTGACCAAAATGCTCAAATTATTCTGTAAAGTTAAAAAAGTGTGACTTATTTAGTAAAGTTACAAAAAAATTCTTTCTATATAAATATTCATTCAATTAATATAAGAAATTAGGTGTAAATAGTATTAAACCTACTAAGCAACATTTACTTAGAAATAAAAAATAATTGACTTTGACCAAAGTGCTCAAATTTTCTTGTGAAATCAAAAAAGTGTGATTTATTTAGTAAAGTTACAAAAAAAATTATTTCTACACAAATATTAATTTTATTAATATAAGAAATTAAGTGTAAATAGTATTGAACCTGCTAAAAAATTTTTACTTAAAAATAAAATGTAATTGACTTTAACCAAAGTGCTAAAATTTGTTATGAAATCTCTGTATTAATGTTTATAAAAAAAGATATTAAGTATATATAAAAATTAAAATTTACAAAAATAAAAAAATTACATTTAGTAAGAGTTTTTATAAGTTTAAGTATTTAAAAAATAAGGTTTTTTTTTAAAGATTATGTTAAATAAAATAAAAGTGTTTTTTTTTGTTAAAAAAAAAAAAAAATTGAAAAATTGATTTTCAGTATAACTATAATTAATTATGCAATTATAATTAATTGTATAACTGTAATTAATCATCAAATTAAAAATTTCCATATCATTTTGCATACAATTTTTTTTACAGAAAAAGCAAAAGAAAAATAACAAAATAAATTAGAGTTTTAAATTAAATCAAATATAATATATTATTTATTAAATAATTTAAATAATTTGATCAAATTAGATTAGATTAGGTCAGGTTAAGTCAGATCAAATAAAATTTAAATCAGATTAGATTTTTGTTTGACCTAACCTGATTCTTTCAGTTCAGGTAACTTGATTGACAAACTAACTATTTATTTTAAATTTTATGATGTTTAATAAGTTTTTATAAAATTATGTCTACACTAATTTCTGCTATACATATAATTTTTTCAAATTTGAAAGATTAATATTAATAAAATAAAGTTGTAAAAAAATTCTTACATATGCAAGAACTATTTGAACTGACTATTTATTTATTTCATCTATTAATTTTGAAGTTACTATACAAAAATTAAAATTAATACCTAATAATTTATTTATAAATTCATCTAATATTTTATAAAGCTGATATGTTATAAGAATTTTAACGAAAATCTTATAATCATAACAAAATAATCATACTTCACAATAATAACTATAAGGATATTATAAATCAGAGATAAAATTTATTATTAATAACACATATTAATAATCTTATTAATATGTGTTATTAAAGATTTTTTAAGATTCTCTTAATCCTTTATTTTTTTTTGATTCTTCTTTTTATTTACTTCTATTTATCTTATTTGTATATAATTTTATTAAATTCTGTTCAAATTATTTGATTTAATGATTTATTTTATTTGCTTATATTATATAAATAGCATTATAAAATTCTTATAATTTATATACTGTATCTTGTCTCTACTGTTATAAATAATAGTTTTTTTACAAATCAGTGTTTCTAATGAAGTATTCTTAATTTTTTTTTTATAATCATTTTACTTTATTATATAATTTTGATTGTTTCTTCAGTTTCTTAATAAATGTTAATAATAGATTAGAGTTTAAATATAAATGCAAATACCTTTGATAAATAGTTACTATTAATATTTATATAATATTATATATATTGAAACCAAGAAAGTGAGAAATTGAAAATTTTTTACTAGAATTAATTTTCTCTATACTTAACCCAAGAAAACATAATTTTTAGCTTTTCAAAATATCAATAGAAAATTGAAAGATATTATTTTAATATTAGTAAAATAGTAAATTCAAATAAAATTGGAACCTAAAATTTTTTTCATCCACTTTAACATAATAGTATCTAGTGTTCAAATTTTGTAAAATGTCTTGGAATTGAGAATGTTTATCTAAAATTTGTAATAAAGATATAGTATCTATTATTATTATATGTGACTAAATAAAGTTGATAATTAACATTAGAAGAAAGCAAGATTTTGACATTTTACTTCTATATATATATATATAAGAACTTCAATTAATATAGCCTATTTTTTATACAAAAACTTCAAACAAAAAATTCTCTTAGTGACGGAAATAAGTTTATTTCAAAACTTATTCTATTTAGTTTATTCAATCTTAACAAATTACATAACAAAAAGTAAGAATTTCGTATATTTTAATCATTTTTGAGTTAAACTTATACTAAAAATTTTCCAGTTCGGTAGTCTTTGATCTCAAAAACCTAAAAAACAGGTTACGCGATATGGGACTTTCGTTAAAATTTTTATATGATCACGTGATCGGATGCTTAATTTTAAAATATAAGTATTTGTTTTCTTAATTTTTTATTTTCATTATAACAGCCAAAAAATTATATGAAAAAAATAAATTTATTTTATTTTAACCAATCATCGATCCTTAAATTTTGCAAACATTATTTTTTTCTTTGCGTTTTTGCTATTGTGAAAAACAAATATACTAAGTAGTTTGTCAGATGACGAAATTCTAAGTATAGTTATGTCTTTATGACGCGTTAAAACACGTAAATATTTTAGAACAAATATAGGTTAAATTCTCATCGAGATAATAATAATAATAATAATAATAATAATAAAATCAATTTTAAGGCCTTAAATAATAGTAATGGAGTTATTTGAAAGCTTTACGCGTAATTATGAAGATACTGTAGAAAGTCCTGTATATGGTTACTTACTTCACAATGACGAGCAAAGACTTGAAATTTCGGAAAAGAATCCAGAAATGTCTGTAAGTGAGCTTTCCATAACGCTCGCTAATAATTGGAGAAGTTTGTCCGAAGTTTGTATTATTTATGTACTGTATTTATTGTTTTAAAGAATATATTCATAAACTTTGTTTATCATCATCAAGGAAAAGAAAAATGAATATTCCGAGAAGGCTAAAGAATTGAATTGGAAGCGACTCAGCGAGGTTTGCATTTTATGGATAAAATATAATTGATATGAGCGCGCCTGGCATGTTTTATGTATTATATTAAGTATCTTACCAAGATTATGCTAAAAAAGTGCGAAAAAGGCGTGCAACTTGAACATGTAAGGGATTTGGTTGTGAAATTGAAAGAGACGCGTTATCCATCCAAAAAATCAAGACAACTCTTATATTATAAAAGGAGCGAAGAAATTGACGAGGACGTGTCAGATTTAAACATTTATACGCAAGAATCATATCAATATGATTCAAATACCAATTCATCATCTACAGTGTCAGTCGATTCATTAGAACAACCATCAACCGCATTTGCACATTATGTAATTGATGGTTCACCAAGTTTGTTGCGAGTGTATCCTAACATGAATTTCGAAGGTGTTAAACAAGTGTTACATGATAATTGGAATAATATGTCACCGGAACATCGAGCTCCTTGGGTAACGATGGCTGAACAAAGTTGTGAGGGTTATGAAAATCATGTTTCAAATACTGATAGTAATGACTCATCCGACAACGATTTTGATGACTTGTTTAATAATACTGAAGAAGGATCCGAAGTTGATGAATCCAACCAAAGTTATATTCAAGAATTAATTCATACATATAATAATCACAAAAAATCACATCATGAAACAGTTCAAGTTCCTACATATTCCCACTGTGAACCTTGGTTACAACCATCTAAAATGATTGAAAATAGTGTTGAAAATGGGGAATTGGTTACAATACCCCCAATTTATACGACACGTCAAAGTGAAGTTGTGACTAAAAAGGACCTTCCTGTTGTGGACAATCAATTGGACGTACAATCTTCATATCAAAAAAACATTTCAGCTAACACTCGCATTCTTTCATTCACTCAAGAAAACATGCAAACTGGTCAAACGTTTATTTCTAAACCTTCAGTAAAATGCGATAAACCCCTTGAAATACAATTCTTTGTCAAACCTTTCGACAAAGAAAACGTAGCATTGCCTGGTGAAAATAAAAGGGCTCCATTTTATTTTACATCAACGATACCATTTCATCCACGTAATATGAACCGTTCCAATGAAGAGAATGATCATAAACCTCGTGACGTACAACAATTTCAACAAGATCGACGATACGGACTCAAAGTGCCAGTACCATGCATAGGTGCATGCGATCATTATCAAAGAACAGTCAAATTTGATAGTAATTATAGATATGGCCTACAATCTCGACAAACAGAAATAAACAAAAGCATTAATAATAAATGGAAACAGATGGTACTTTCTGAAAGGAAAATGTGGGAAGATATAGCAAAAGTAGACAAAGAAAGATATGAAAAGGAAAGGGAGAATTATTTAACTTCTCAATACGAGTGTTTTCTTAAATCTCAAGAAGGAATTCCTTTGTATGATTGGTTCAAAGCTTAAATAGTTGGGAAATAATAATTATATTAATGATATGTTTTAATTCTTTTCTCTTTTATTTTGAAGTTTCATTTTACCTAATAGGTGAAATAAATAAATTCAAACAGAAAACAGAAACGACAAAATAAACTTTATTCCTAGCATTCTGCATGTTGTCTTTTTTTTTTTAAAAAAAAAAAAAAAAGAAATTTTTTAATGATGATGTTACAAAATGTCTATATAACTCAAAGAGCGGACGCTCCAGTAATAATATCCACTATATTAATAAAATAAAATATAAATATATATTAATATTCATGTAAAGTATTTGATTATATAGGAAAATCACACCCTTTCTTACCCAATTCATTAGTAATGGCAGCTTGACGACCACGATTATATGTCATAGTAAGTTTTTCAATCATTTCACCAGCGTTCTTGGTAGCATTTTCCATAGCACTTCGTTTAGAAGCCATTTCAGCGGCATGACCTTCAACAAGTCCCCAGTAAATGGAATTTGCAAAGGCGAATTCTTGTAAATTTTCCAAAACATCATCCTCGACTTCATAAGAATCAAAATTACCTATTTATTAAATGAAATAAATTAAAAGGTTTGCCTTGTATAAAAATAGATAAACATTATATAAAATATTTAATTAATTAAATTAATTACCAGATTTTGTAAAAGTTGATACGGAAAAAGCGGGAATAGTTTGTGCCTCATAAGATATAACAGATTTAAAATAATTATATACAATAGTGGCTTGGTCAAAGTCAAGCTTTTCTTTTAAAACAACATCAGCGATAGAACTTGCTTCATTATAAGTAGGGATAGATTTTCCAATTTGATTAAAAGAAAGTTTAATATTTTCACGTATAGAACGTGAAAGTTGAGCTTTTGCCTTATCTCCTAATACTACTACTTGAGAATCTGGTTTCCCTTCAATAATTTTTCTCGAAAACTTTGATACACTACTATGAATACCACCACAAAGTCCTCTATCCGATGAAACTGTGATAACTAAGGTATTTCCATCTTCCGTTTGTTTGGTATCAGCATGAGTGAAAAAAGCTATATATGCATCAAAAGAAATCTATTAAATTAAAAATCTTAAGATTTAAAAATGTGAAAAAAAAATTCTCACCTGTTTGAGTACTACCAAATGTTCTTGCGACCTCCATTGCCCTTTGAGCTCTTTGATTGTTTTAAAAATTTATTTAATAAATATCGATGACAATACCATTAAAATGATCCATTATAAACGTACCGATTCATCTTTGTTGACGCAATCATTTTCATCGATTTTGTAATCTATTTTTAAATCGAATTGATACAAAATAATTAATGCTAAGTATAAACAAAGAAATATCTAGAATTTAATGAAGCAACAAAAGGGTACCTTCGCAATACTGTTAACTGACTTTAGCCGTAATTGAACTAATCATAATCAAAATGCTTTTAATTTTTTTTTTTTTTTAATGTTAACACCAATGATAATCATCGTATTTAAACTTACTTTCTTTTAAAGTAGCATAATTACGGTTTTGACACCCGACGCTAAAATCAACGAACGACCACCGATTTTTTCAATTTTATCAATGAAGAAAAATATTTTAAACGATATGATAATTTTTGGAAGCAAAAAAAAAAAATCTCGATGTAAAACTTTTTTTTTAGAGGAAATAAATTCTAACTACCCTCTAAAATTACTTATGCATACCTCTGGGTGGTGTTAACCACAACAGGGCGAATAGTTCGAATGGCAAACATTTTGTTTAAAGAATTCCTAAACCAAAAAAAAAGAAGCCGAAAATTGCTGATTATCTAACACAAAAAAAATTTTTTAAATTATATTCACGTGATCAACAAATTTTTTTTTTTTTTTTTTTGGTATAAAATTCTTTCTCTAAATAAATCTTGATTCTCTCTCTTTTCATTACATCCATATCCATCGCCAACATGGGTAGAGTAAGTAATAATAATTAGAATTCTCATCATATAAACTATCTATTCTTTAAATTAATTTGATTGGGGATGGATATGAATATTTTTTTTTCATCATTTTACAATTTGTTAATAGTTTCACGAGTATCAAGTGGTTGGTCGTAAACTTCCAAGCAAAAAAGACAGTATTCCAAGACTTTATCGTATGAGACTTTTTGCCCCTAATGAAGTTGTTGCGAAAAGTAGGTTTTGGTACTTCCTTAAAAAACTCAAAAAAGTGAAAAAAGCCGCCGGTGAAATTGTTTCTATTAATGAGGTACGTTTCAAGTCGGTGCCAAATTGATTTTATTTGGGTATCCTCTATTTTTTTTTTTAATCATGATCACATTTAATTAAGATCTTTGAAAAAAGACCTCTACAAGTTAAAATTTTCGGTATATGGCTTCGTTATGATTCTCGTTCTGGCACACATAATATGTATAAGGAATATCGGGAAATGACCAGGTTTAAAAGCATTATTTGTCGCATTTATTCTTGTTTTTCTTAATTAACTTCATTACGCTAATCTCATTCATTTTAGAACTGATGCCGTTTATTCTTGTTGTAAGTTATCAAAAAATACTACGAATTTATCGTTTTTAGATTTATCTAAAGTGTTTTTTTTTTTTTTTTCCTTTTAAATATAATCATAGACCAAGATATGGCTGCTCGTCATCGTGCTCGATTTTCTTCAATTCAAATTATGCGTGTCGCGGAATTGAAGACTGCTCAAGTAATTAATTAATTCTTTAATTCATTCTCTACAAATTTCTCTTAATTTTATATTATCAAGAATCATTTCATTCATTCATATTTTTTTTTTTTTAGGTGAGACGTCCATATATCACTCAACTACTCCAACCCAATCTCAAATTCCCTCTTCCTCATCGTGTACGAAGATCAAAGAAAACTACGTTCTTGGCCAAACGTCCTTCAACTTTCTATTAATTTACTTTTATTCGTTTTTTTTTCTCAAAAATGTGAGTTGCAAAGAAAGTAAATCCAGAATAATAATAATAAAAAAAAAATTTTTATTTTTAATAAAATGATTATTACTTTTATAAATAAAAATAATTGGTTCGCGAGTTGGAAACAATTAATTCACTTAGAATTTCGGGACTGCTAACAAAAATTTATATTTATATATATATAAATATTTTTGGATTTGAATTTTTTTGATTTTTTTCTATTTTTATTTTTTTAGTTTTTCTGATATATTACAAATGTTTTTTTTTTTTTTTGTTTTTTACAAAGAAATTTTTTTAGATCATCCTCTCATAAAATCCTCCCACCCTTTTTTTTTTTTTTTTTTTGATTCTATTAAAAAAAATGTGAGTTATCTAAATTAAATAAAATAAAAAATTAAAATTCGCCAGATAAATCAAAATAGTGCCTAAACATGCTTTCATTCTTTAGTTTTTCTGACTCAGCAATCACATAATACACGTGCAACATCAATTGAGGAAATCTTGATGTGAAATAAAAAAGGAACCCATCAGGTATTTCACCCAAAGATCTTTTGACATGTTCAGGAAGATCTTGGTAATGATGTTTCTGCAAAAATAAAAATAAAAATTTACAATTAATAAATCAATCAATCAATCAATCATGAAGAAAACCATTTATCACAAGGGTGAAGTACCTTATTTCTTAACGCTCTTAATAAATCCCTCACTCTAGAACCATCATATTTTCGGTATTTGCCTAAATTTTCCACCAACACTCTATCGATTCGTTTATACCAATCTGGTCCTATAATATTCACTGCACCTTGTTCTAATCGTTGAAGTAATGGTGAGGGAGGTTCCCTTTCCTCTATCTCAAAACGATCGGACGCGTCCTGAAGAAATCCAAGGCGCTTAGACGGTGACCAGAAATATGGATGTAACATTACAGTTTCCGCTTTTGGTCTTTAAATCAAGTGAAAAGAGTATTTTTTAGTAAATTAATTTTTGATGGACAACATTGTTGATATTCAAAATCATTTAATGAATCAAAGCATACCGTTTTTTTGGATCTCGTTCTATCATTCTCATTATTAGATCTTTTGCTTCAATTCCTTCTTCTCCCATTCCATCCAACTTTGTTAGTTCATAAACTCCTTTTAAAATATTTATCTCTCTAGAATATCGATCACCAAACGGGTGATCACCCCCCGATAATACATAATAAAACAAACAGCCCGTTGAAAAAATATCAATCGCCTTTGTTACTCTTCGTGGTTGTCCGTTATCATAATCTGATCCTGTTGATGATGATGAAGTAAATGAATTATCATTCAATCGATCTACGGATGTCCAAACCGAATCAACATTATTATTATTATTTCCATCTGGTGAAGGCGGTATTGATGGTGAAAGCAATTCTGGTGCTCGCCAACCAATAGTCCCACCTGCATTATTTGTAGTATTATGAAAACTACTGGAATCCCCCTCCAATTTTTTACATAATCCGAAATCTGAAATCAATACCCTCACAGGAAAGGTTTGTTGTGAAACACCATCCTTTTGTATTATTCTCTTATGTTTTGAAGGTGAAATTAAAATGTTCTGTGGTTTTATATCTCGATGAACAATTTTCATTGAATGCAAATGATGTAAACCGGAAATGATTTGATGAAGGATTTTGGAAGGGTGTGATGAGGTTAATAAATCTGCATACTGAAACGTCGAACCCCTTTCAACCAAATCATGTAATGAGGCAGGACATAGTTCGAGGGCAATGTACAAAAATCTGTCACATTGCTCCTTACAAAAATATCTAATTACATTTGGATGATCATCACTTTCTTGAAGAAGTGACACTTCGTGATGTGCAACATCGTAAAAATCAAGTAACAACCGTTTAATCGCAACGTCACGTCCTTCAAACGTTCCCTTATATACGATTGTACCATGACTTCCGTAACCTATTAAATAAAATAGAAGGGTTAATAGGTCTCATCTAATTAAATAAATGAAATGATTTCGTCTAACGACACCCACCTAAAATTATGTCGGATACTATCAACGAGTTCAATTTTATTTCGCCATTTGTATTGATACTTTGTTCGGTTGAGTTTATCCCACTCGTGGTCGATTGAGGATTAGCAACCGGAATATCCTCAAGTACCTCGGTTTTTTGTAACACTTCTTTAGGAAATTGAACTTTGGGGGAAGAAAATTTCCCTTTGTCTTCATCTTTTAATTCTATTTTTTTGGTATTAACGGTTGGATTTTTAGCATTTTTCTTTTTCTTTTTTCCAATTTCTTTCTTGTTATTATTTTTGGTGTTCAAAAATTCTTTCGTAAAAGCATCACCATTATTACTGGCGGCGTATTGTGTTTTAAAGTTTAAGAAAGACGATATAGTTTTCTTGAAGGACTGACGATGACTTCCATTCCTTAGTACTTTATTCAAAAATACAAAACAAGAAACGGCAAAGATAATAAAGGCCCAAGACAAACCAATCTGCGCAATTGACCTTGCTTCTGGTTCAAACAAGAAACCGTTGGGATTTATGTTTTTTCTGACCGGAGGACCTTCAATGCCTGGGCGCTGCGGTTCCCCAGTAACTAAATTATGCTTTCCGATCAAACACGCTGGGTATATACTAGAACCAGGGCGACAAAGAACTCCATTATCTTGTGATTCATTTTTCTTTTCGCTAGAAATTCGCTTGTTATAATAATCGAACCATAAAGAATCAGCGATGAATTGTGTCAATGGATAATTCTCAACCGACATGGCAAATAATGTGCCGTCGTTATCACCTATATATGCTGCCAGTTGAGAAGAAGGGTGTAATTTTTTCAGATGTTGATGGTATGTGTCGGAAGGTCGAGGTTGTCTTACGATATGTAGACCGCTTGGTAGATCCTTTGATGCCAACACGTCAAATACATTAACTGCCGGAGAAGAAAATTTATGATACCAAGCATGTTGACCTTAAAAATGGGATAAATATAATACATAAACGATGATTCCCTTCCTTATTCAATAAAATCTAATGTTAGATCTAATTCAATGGAAACTAAAAATTACCAGATGAAGACTCGGTAGAAAGAACTTCTCCGTTATGAGTTGACGCGATGTATAGATCATCGGGCGACGTTTTGTGCAACTGCTCAATTTTTAAATCGAAACTGTGCGGTACGTATTCGGTGTAGGTAGTATTCCATTTTGGTATGCCACGTTCGAAGATAGATATTTTATAGACTAATTTGAAAATAATTCAAACATGAGAATTTTTAAACCAAAATCCCCCCCCCCCCTTTTTTAATGATAATAACGTTACAAAGAAATTAATTACCATTAATACCCATAAATATAGCATCTCTAGGTACCGATCCCATGGATGGACATTCTTTCTCTACTCCGTCACTACTGAAAAATTGTAGAATCTTTCCAGTAGCAGGATCGATGGCGAGGAATTTTGTTGATTTACTGCCAACAATAAATATTTTACCGTCAGCAGAACGAAATGGTGAATTCATCACGAGATATTTAACGGTATATGGAAATTTCTATTTTTTTCATTTCAATTTACAGTCATTCAATAATAATGTATTATAATAACAACGAGTGAACACACGATATCATCCCAAATAAAAACACCGTTTCAAATCCCCGAAATGTAAATCTAACGAATGAAATATAGTAAAGAACTATATATAATTAATAAACATTATTGAGAATGTATCTACCTGTAATCCTGTCTTTGGAGAAAACAAGTACAATATACCATCATTGGTTGGTTCAACAATGTACGTAATTTCACGATCAGAATCATCATCGTCATCAACATCATCCTTTAATTTTGTTAATTGAGAATCATCCTGTCGATCTTCGGAATAATTTTTGTCCTGCTTGTGGGAATAATTCACGTCATCATTGTCTCCGTCCCTCACAATATCATTGTTTTCCTCCTTATTCCTAGTAACATTATGTTGCTTGGTAGACGAACGCGTATATGTTCTTATCAAGGAACCTTCGGCGGCACCTTTTAAACTCCATATAATTTGGCCAGTATACCGGTCGACACCGTGCAGGTTGCCATCCAATGTTGAAATCAGAACCAAGTTAATTGGGCTTAGGTTAAGTTTAGGTGGAAGTGCTTTAACCTCCTCACTGACTAAACGTTTGTAAAAAGGAGGTCGAAATTGTATAAGATCTTTAGAGTCAAGTCTCGACTTGGCATATGGAAACAGAAAAAAAGTGCAAATAATAAGCGCCCACAATAAAAATGAGCACACAGGGGTGAAAGCAAGTCTGCGCAGTCTCATAATGTTGGATTCCGTTAGTCTCTCAAATCGTTCGTAAGTCTCATTCAGAATAATAAGTCAGCAAAAAAAAAAAATAATTATCTAATACTGAAATTAAAAAAATTATAATTAAAAAGTGAAAAATTCAAGGGAAAAAAAAAGAACTTAAAAAGGGGAGTTATTTATTTATTTTTTTTATTTTATTTTTTTTTTTTTAAAAAAAAAAAAAAAAAAAAGTAATTTCTTTTGAAACTTTATTATGGACGAAATTTTTATAAAGTCGCAATGATCAAATATAATAAATCGCATATATAATATAAATTTGGTAGTTGGTGTATTTTGGTTGATTTTCAAAGTACAGATTTCATGGTGATAAGACGGTGTTATATTTACCATTATTATTTAAATTGAAAACTGCGTTCGTTAAAAGGCTTAGCATTTATCACATGGAATAACGGACAATACTGATACGCGCCAATTTTATTAGGTTATAACTGCAAAAGTCCACTGGCTGTTTATAAATGGTAATCACTAACTAAAAAAGACTTTATGTTAATATAATCCAAAAAATTTTCAAGTAAAAAGGAACTTTTTCTTTTCTAAATTTTTGTATCACACACTTCCAAGACAAAAAAAATTGGTAACACATATGGAATTGCTCTTAACACAACTTCAAGAAAACCCTCTAAACTGGTTTCTTTCAGGTTTTCTTGTTTATGTCGTTTACTCGTACTTTACACCGCCACCATATACCTTACCGATTGCAAAACATCCCGAGACAACTATTTTTAGAGAATATTCACCGAAACAACTAAGGGAATATGACGGAAGGACTCCACAAACGAAAATTTATATGGGCGTTTGTGGTCAAGTCTATGATGTAACCAAAGGACGTAACTTTTACGGTCCAGGTATATATATATAATGCTTATGTGAATTTCGACGGAATTTTAACATTAACAAACCTAAATTTTTTATAGAGGGCCCTTACGGAAATTTTGCTGGACGTGATGCTTCCCGTGGGTTAGCAAAGAATTCTTTCGATATGGATGTGCTCACTCCAATTGATCAACCTCTTGACACTTTAGAAGACTTGACATCAGAAGAGGAAGAGAGCCTTAATGATTGGCACAATCATTTTTCAGCAAAATATGAATATGTAGGAAAGCTAGTGAATGAACCAGAATATAGTTCATAGTTACATCATTCAATTTACGTTAATATAATAATTTCAATAAATTCATTTTCGAACGTTTGTAGTTAACTTTATTTTCCCATCTTTTCCAAGTTCTGTCATAATACCAACATCTTGTAAGGCTGAATGCTGAACTGTTTCAATTGGCGCAAGTTGCTCAACAAGTTTTTGATTTTCAGGATTGTGAATTAAAATATTTCGTAAAGCAAAGATCGCATGTTCCCGAATATCTAAAAAAAAAAAAAAAAAATTATTATTTTAATATCTTTTACAGATGGAAGAAAGTGATATTTTTTTTTTTTTAAAAAAAAAAAGAATCTCACAAGGGTTATTGTCATCAATATTGCATTGATTTAATATTAATGGAATTCCACCTAATTCGCGAACCTCATCTTGAACAATCTTGTTTTCATATGCCATATTACCTATGATTTTCACGATATCTCTTTTAATGAACGCGAATCCTGAAGAAGCCTGTTGAAATGTATGTGAAATTTGAGTATCGGTTGCTTTAGTCATACGTGGAAGGGACTTATCGGCCTGAAATAAAAGAGCTAATAAAGTAATGATTAATAACCTCTTTTTTTTTTGCAAATTTTATAAAAATGAACCTTACATATACTGGATGCGATAATCCCTTCTTTGAATAAACATTCGCGTACTTTTTTATCTCCTTCTTGACTCATTTTTCCAATACATTGAAGGAACAATACTAATCCGGTATATAATAGGCGCGAACCTTCGTGTTGTTGATCATCTTGACTTTTTGAATGCATTATGGAGTCATTTTCAACTAGTTGCATGGAATATATGACTTGATGACAAATTGAATGAAAAGCTCTTATAATACAAACGCATAAGGAAATAGAAAATTCATCGATTTTTAATGATGAAAAAAATTTGGAGTCAAGAATTTTTAGTAGTATAATTTGATGTCGCGTTGGAGCCTGTCTAGAAAAAATGAGGAAAATGTTTTAAAATTTATTCTTTGGAAATGTTTAGATTAAAACGAAATGGTACTACCTTTGTGGTTGACTTAATGAATCGTATAATAATGGGAAAAGGCTAAAGTCTATTAAACGCGAAACTAACGCGTATCTATGTAAAATTAAATAATAAACCGAATTCATAAATAATTCTTACAACCTAAGAAATCGAAAAGCAATGATATATAAACAACATTAATTCAAAATTTTGGGAGCTTTCATCTTCAAGAAGTTCTTCGGCTCGTTCTAATAAAAGTTCTAAAAGGTGTATGCCCGATTGTGATTCGATTAATGCCTTACTTTTTTTTTTTTTTTTTTTTTTTTTTTTTTTTTTTAAAGAAGAAAGTAAAAGAAAAGATTAGTCGAAATGTATACTTTCTTGATTACATAGATATTTCTTTTTTATATAATAATTTACCTTCGAGATTCGCTTTCATGTACACAATTATATACAAGGATTAAAGCACCCGTCAAGACAACACTATCCTCACACTTAACAAGCTCGCTATGTATGATAAACAAGTCATTCATTGCAATTTAAATTGAAATATTGCATCTTTTGCAAGATCTACTTACCTTAAGATATCATTGGATTCATTTCGATTCGTGTAATCCGACCAAATAATTTCTTGAGCACCTGCATTCCCGGTTATAGCATTGGATAACGCTTGCGATCCGAACCTTATAATCGAAATAACTTCGAATCCAAATAATTGTTAATTCAAATCATCAGATTATTTTGGATAATCAATTTTATATTATATATATATATATACACACAATTATTATCAGCCTCAGAATTGAACTTTAACATAGAGTACCACAAAATTTCCTCGGTAATTTTATTCCATTTATGCTCCCTAAGGAAAAAGGTATAATAAGAATTAAGTTTTTAAATATATATCGATTTTTATGTTCATTACAAACTTTGTAACAGTAAACATACAAGGCTTGGTTTTGATTTTCGGAAACCGCCGCGACAATATTTCGAAAAAGTCGAACGAGCTCTAATACGATAGGCAAGACAATAAGTTCCTCTTTTAAAAACTTTTCTTTTGACCACTCCCAAAGTTTGGTTGTAACTATCCAGAACTGAAATTTATTCCCTAAGGTCTCCCTATAAAACAAATGGATTTATCAATAAATCAACTTCAAAACAATAAAATAATATAAGTTCAACTTTACCTGTATGTCAAGTTACTTTGAGTTGTAAAAGTAATTTGCTTTAAAAGTTTAATTATACTGTCTAAATTATTTAATGGGTCATTGGAATAATTTCCTAACTGTTGAACTATCACATCAGACTTTGTAAATTCCATCAAAAAAAAAAAAAATGGATTTGATATTTTTTTTTTTTTTTAATATGTTGATAGAAATCCTGAAGTTGAATCAAATCGCCTCGTCCATGTTTCCGGCACGTGACTTTGGTTGATTAATATTTTAGTCCCACGTGATCTAGTACACCCAGTAATTTTTCCCCACAAATTCAAAAAACGCAAATATAGTATAAAGTAATAAATAAGAAAGCGTTACTGGTTAATATTAAATATAGTATTAGATAATGATCATTACATTTTAAATATATAAAATATGTATATAAATTTTTTACCTTAAATTATTAAACTCTAATACAGACAACAACCCTCTACAGGAATAGATTGACTTTTGTTGCAGGTAAGAGATACCCACTAGTAGATAGTCATCTCTATATAATCGCACGTTACATCAATCATGAATTGGAGATTTAGTTTGTTGAAAATCAGAAATAAATTTTAGAACATTAACCAATTAGGTAATTGGAACAAAATTGTAGTTATTACGATTGGCGAATGCGTCTACTTTTAATAAATATAGTGTGTAAAAAATATTCATTTACAAGATAATTAACTTTAGATAAACCAAAATCTTGACCAAATAAAATTCGTTTTGAATGTAAACTCATCTTGTCGTTCATATCTTATAATATCGGAATATCGGAACATACCATAATTGTATGCTTTGAATATTTATGTGCTTATATAATTGGATAAATTTTAAAAGAAAATTACCGTGCATTAAAAAAAATCATCATAATTAAATTTGTAAGATTCGACCGATTCGAAAAGGTATAATCAATGTTGATTGTTACATCAAAGATTAAGTTTATCTACTATTAGGTTTTATTTATGGGAATTGGTTTTTAATTGCAAATTTGTTGTATCGTTTGAAAATAAATTTCATTCATTACCTTGAAATAAAATTTATTTCTAGTACAATATGTGTTTTTCCATACAACCCGTTATCATTGTTGTCAGGTTAGTTTATTCCAGATTCATTGCATAAAAAGCTTAACTCTAAGTTTATAAATAGAATTCGTTTTCCGAAAATTCCTTCTCCAACCTTAAAACTATAATCTTGAATATTTTTGGACGGACTCATATTTCCATTTGAGAAATTCACCCGTATTAGTAAGATTGTGACAAGAAGAACTATGGGAAACTATTATAATCAGAACAATAGTATAATATATATCGATTCTAAAATAAAAGTTTGAAGAGGCCTAAAAAACTTTAACCGGTTAATAACCGGTTAACAGATTTGAATTAACCGGTTAAATTTAACTCAGGTCGGCTAAGGATTTTCCAAATTAATTAATTTAACTCTGGTCGTAATCTACAAAAAAAAAAATATTTCCAGCTCTTCCTGATTTATATAAGACATATAAACTTATTTAATCTTATGCAATCTTATGCAAATTTATAATCTTACATATAGACTTATACAAATTTATATATAAAAATTTTCCTGATGAAGTTAAATTCTATATTCAAAATCTTGATTTTAAAAAGAAATATATTTGCAAATATATTAAATACATATTATATAAAAAAAACAATAAAAGTTAGTATATAAAAATAATAAAAAATACATACTTGTTATTTTATAATGAAATATAAATAATAGACTCTCTTCATATAATATATATATACTGGTAAAATTTTATTTATTAACCATTTTTTTACATTTCATTATTTTTGTTTTTACTCACTTTTTTCTTTATAAAATTTAATATAAAAATTTCTATTCTTATAAATAATAAATATTTTACAATTTTTTGAAATTTGTTAATTTGTTTATGAATTAAATTTTAATAACTTTTAAGAATAAAAAAAATACAAATAAATATATTTTAAAATAGCTTTATATAATTAATAAATTTAATAAAAAAAACTCTTGTAAACTACTTTTTTATGCAAAATATCCTAATATTTTTGGCTAAAATTTATAAAAATCTCAAATTATACATATAGTCAAAACCTTTTCAATTTTGATCTAATTTCAGTTTTAGATTTTGGATAATTTCAGTTTAAGAATACTCATTTTCAAAACTAAAATATCAGTTAAAATCTGAAACATCAATCAAAATCTAAAATCTCAACCAAAACTTATTATTAAACTAAAATCTTAAAATAAAAATAATCAAAATCAGTTAATTTGATATTCTGATTATGATCATAAAAAAATTTTTTCTCTTACTATTCTTTGATAATTTACATTATAATTTATATTATAATTTTTTTTATATATATATTAAAATTTAATTTTTTTAAAATATAAATTATAAATATTAAAATTTAAAAATGTTATCTAATTTAAAAAAAAATAGGTGAATATTCTACTAATAAGATATGAAGTGATTTATAAAAGGAGACCAAGTATCAGATTCTAAAGAATCTTTATTCAGCAACTTGTTCTTTTTGTGAATATCTTTAAACAATAGTAAAAGTGTTAAAACTTAAAAAATATTTTACATATAAATGTAAAAAGTTAATTCTGATATTAAAATCTTTATTTTGATAATGTTAACAAATAATTGTGAGGATTTAGATAATGATAGTCATGATATTATTATGTCATCAAAATTTAATAAAAAATAAAATCAACTGATAGATTGAAAACTCATCTTGACAACCAGTGTTAACCTTTTAGACCAATAGACTTTTAAACTATTAAACTATTGGATTACTAGATTTAATCTATTCCAATTTCATTAAAATTTAAACTATAAGATTATAGACTTTGTCTAATAGCTATAAATTTAAATAAAATTTATATTTTGTAAATCATTTTTATTGTTATTTATAAATAATTAAATTTTCCTAAAATTTCTTGAAGTTTTTATCTAGAAGAATAAAGTAAATTTGAAATATTTGTAATATTAATTTAAGCTCTCTGTCACCTGAAAAAATTTAGTTTAGGTTAGTAGAATTGTTCTAGTTAAACGATTTTATTATCGTTCAAATTTTAAGTTAGGTTAGCATTATAAATTTGACTAAAATTATATATTCATAATCCATTTAAATTAGAATTGGATTGAACATCTCTATTAAGTTCAAAGTCCAAGAGTCCATTATTAGAAATTGGATAAGATTTAATATCAACACTGTTAACAACCATTATAATATTTTTCTACTTCATTAATCAAAGAAAGTTAATAGGATAATTAATGAAGAAAATAATATTACTATTGCTTTTAATAGGTATACAAATCCTAATAGGTAATCAATATATGATTATTTTTTAATTACTGAAAAATAAAAAGAATATCTCTGGTGTTCAAAGAATTATTCTGATATTTTTCATCATACTGACATATTTTTTGATAATGAACTTATCAAAATTATGAATTATAGATGCCTACCGAAACCTCTTCAAAATAATTTCGTCATACTCTTTTCTATGTTTTTAATATGATTTTGACAATTTTAGCTTTTGTCGTATCAAATGGATTTTATCGTATTTCTTATTATAATTTTAATATAGTTTGTCTAAATTTTGACTATTATTAAAGGGTTTGTTTCTCATCTATATTGTGAATAATATTAGTTTTGAAAAATTAGCTATGATAATATCAGATAATGTATCTGAAACTCGAATTGTATAAAGAATTTTATATGAAAAATATCTGCATATTCTAAATATACAATATATTATTCAATATATTAATTTAATTACAAAAAATTTATAAATCCACCTATATGTTATACAAACAGTTCAAAAAGTTAGTATTATATACCAGTATTTTATATTATCTTATACAGCATATCAATTTCTAAAAGATACTATTAAAATTTACAAATTAAAGGTAGAGAATTAAAAGTCATATAAAAACTCAGTAGTTACTTATGTGGAATTGTATAAATTTAATTGTAAGGCTTGAACTTGCTTTTATAAGAATAAGTATTAAATAATTAATTTATTTATAATTTTATTTTTATAATAATAATATTATAATAATTTTTATTTAATTTTTATTTAATAATTTAATAATTTATTACTTTATTTAATATATTTATTAGATTTTTTCTAAAAATATTAAGTGATTCTAAGTAATTCTAAAAGTCTCAAAAAAATTACAAAAAATTATATTTACAAATTTATTATAAAACTTATTTATTATAATATTTTAATAAGCTACTAAATGAAAATATATAATAAATCCTTTTAGAATTCCAAAATTTTTTAAAATTTAAAATTTAAAAACTTAGAACTGAATCTCAAAAACTGGTTCTATATTTAGTAGTTTCATCAAAATTGCTAATTTTAAATATCATTTTAACTTAATTATAAAATTTTTATGATATTTTTTTGATAATGGTTATTTATTATAGATAAATGATTAGACTTCTTTAAAGTTAGTAATTTCTTAAATTGTAAGGACTGATTAAGGATCATTTAACATCCTTAGTTTTTTCAGAACATAAAAATAATATTAAAAATCAGATCAAAGAAATTCTCTATAATTGAAACTTTTATAAAAATTATCAAATTTTTGTATTTATTTTTCATTTTCTTAAAATTTTTGTAAGATATTTAGAAGCAAAAACTTTAATACTTGCTGACTACTATATTCATTTATTATCATTAGTAGATACAATTTATTATATATCAAATCAAAATATATAATTTAAAAATCACTATATGATTAAATTTAATAAACGATTTGATGATTTTTCTAATGATTTTTTCTTTTAGCATTTTTTTACATTCTTGTTACAGTTCTCGAAAAAAGTAATCAGAATTACAAAAAATGTAATAAATAAAAAATTAGTAATTGAAATTACTTTAAATTTTAAAGATTTGTTGATAAATATATAAATATTATGTATATAAAATTTCGGCTATTTACTTTATCTCTTTGTCTCATAATCACATTTTTAAAAAAAAATTATTAAAAATTTAAAGAATAAAAAATTTGTTAAGTTTTTATATAATACCTCAAATATCAATAAACAGTTTTTTATATTTATATAAAAAAAATTACTAATATAAAAAGTAT